ATGACATGCGTAGTTCGCATTGCACAAGCTAGCTATTAGGACATTGTAACCTCATAGGCATAGATTGGACTCGGGTATAGGCTTCGCAACGCAAAGTAATTGGAATTACTAAATTAAAAACTCCTATAGTTGGCCGCACCCGCACATTAATCAAAATTGGCAACCTCCAATTGCTATAAAACCTCAAAATGCTAAAACAGCGTGTCACAGATGTGCAATATTCCAACTTTGCATTTTCCTTTTTCTTTATAAAGGTTCTATTCAGTTAAACATTCGTCTGAGAAACTGCTCCAGTGTTGACAAAAACGGACCCGAAATTGGACTCCCTGATAACAAAATTTCAGATAATTTGAAATTGACAAAAATCTATCAACTAGGACGCAAGAACAACAAAATCACAGGCGTTTCCAAAAATCTCGAATTCAGGGCCATCTGATTTTAAATTATGACTCAAGACTCCAATACTAACGAACTCCATTTAAAATCCCTGACTTTGGGCTCGAGGTCGGTAATAAGGTTGATGCATGAGCACAATGTGAAACCAGTTTGCGTAGAAGATCATGCCCCATACCCAAATGTTAGGGACGCTACATCGAACCCCTTTCGAGTGTTTCTTGTCTAGAGCGGTGGTTTTTCAACCTCCATGGAAGAGCGGAAACCCAGTTAAGATTTAAACGCAAACCCGGTTATAAATCAACTGTCAATGTCAGCCTTGTGTGGAGTACATTGAATTAATTAGATATATTTTTCCAATTCTGAGCTAAACACAAAAGGAACATACAAGTATTTTCTCCAACTTTTCGAAATGCGCACCCCTGTTTGTTTATCTTATATTTGACAAACCCCCATGCTAATAAGCCATATCAATTTCTATGTCAAACCAGCGAGGAAGGATGAACAACACAAACAATGTTAATATGATGGATGAGGTTACTTTTCACTGCATAATTTATCAATTTTTGAAGTAATTTGTGGCAAGCAAACTCGTAGGTTCAACTCTATTGCAAGTCTCGACCTGTATTTTGTCATCATATTGGCAAGAACTGCTGCCTCGCACATAAAATTATTATTGCCTTTTCTGAGAGCGATGGATATTCGTCTGCAGCGCTCAATCAAGATGATGCAAAGGCTTTCTAGTTAAAGCCAATCATTAAAGATAGATCAGACTCTTTCCATAAAGTTGCGGAACCCCTGTGCAGTCATCACTGACACCCAGAGGTCCGCAGACCCCAGTTTGGGAAACCCAGGTCTACAGCTTTGTGTGGAGTACTTTGTATGAACCAGATATATTTTGTCAATACTGAGTTTCGATAGAAACACAAGGAATAACAAGAGTAAGGGGCGCTCCGGAAGTATGTGTACCAATATGGAGGTAACTAATTTTGTTTGCCTACATTACATCAAGTTGTGTAAAGGGACTGAAACCTATGGGCAGGGGGTATATCCCCTTGGCTAACATGGACAGTCCCCAAACTCGTAATAGAACTAAAATAGGAAAAATCTGAATGAAATTATGAACCTGGTACACATACTACGAGAGTACCCTTTGAAGGAACATAAACTTCCTCCCTATTGTAATATAATAATTGTCTGGGAAGTAGTCTTAGGGGGATTCCCCCTCATGTATAACTGTCTCATCACTGGTAGTATCGTCAGTGAACACCATTTCAGATTCATTCTCTGGTTTTTCAGTCTTCACTCTCAGATATCATCAGCATTTCTCTTAAAATGTCATTTTCTGTTTGCAATCGGGATAATTCTTCGTAATCTCTGAGATATTGCTCATCATCAACATCCGCAGCATGCCTCATAACAGCAGCCATGTCATGGATCTGAAACATGGAAAGATAATCAATGTTTTTTAAGATAAACCTGCCATCTATTTTGTTTTGAAATAATTGAACCTTTAGCGCCACCATGTGGCTGAATTCTTTTGCTTGAATAATTATTGTCAAACCTCCAGCATTACTTATGACAGGATTGCCAAGTAAGAAAGATTCCAGTCCTTCAACTAATAGTAGCCCATTACATATTGTTTGATATCAATGGCAAATATATAATAAACTGAACTTGATTAATCAAGATGCCTATTTCAGAAATCACGTAGTGTGTGTACCAGGTTCGAATTCCAATTTTTCTTATTTTAGTTCTATTACAAGTACGGGGACCGTCTGTGTTAGCCAAGTGAATATCCCCCCTGCCCATAGGTTTCAGTCCCTTTACACGACTCGATGTAATATAGGCCATAGGTTCTCAAAGTGCTCCGTACGGAGCCCCAGGGCTCCGTGAAAAAAACCCAGGGGCTCCGCGAGCTATTCGATTACTTTTCAAAATACTGAATTGGCTAATACATAAACTATACAAATTGCAATCGTATTTTTGTGATCTTGGGATTTGTCAAGCTTGATTTTGTTTTTTCGCACTCACGAGCAAGATATCGCCGTTTGAAAAATCATAAGGTCGGGGCAAAAACGAAAGATTAAAATTTATTTCATTGCATGCGGCTTCGTCGGTAGTTTCTGAATGGAAAAATAGGAACATCGCGCACACAATTGACTGTGTTTCGGTTTCGCAGTTACTACGACGAATACCCGAAGAAAACCCAACATAACACCAAATTTTGTGATTTACAATGTCTATGAAAGCGTTTTTAATCTGACGTGAGTCTGCTGAAACAAAACTTATAGTGTTATCTTCCATTTTTCCGCCATGCTGACGAAAACAATCGGCGATCGTAACAAAATGCAATCGAGTATGTTATTAGCGGCCATTTAAAAATGTCTAAAGGAAAAAGATCTGACCCCTAATTTATTAACATGTTTGTCAAGTGTCAAATTTACAGCTTTAATATATATAATTTATTTTTGACATTTAGATTCATTTATGACTTGTATTAACCCTATTAAAAGAGGTCTAGCATTTAAAATAAGTACAGTACTTTTAACTTACTCAGGAATATTATTCGGAAAGTAACTATTTTAACATTTATTTTGGGGCTCCGTGAATAACAGTCAACTTTTTTAAGGGCTCCACAACACAAAAAGTTTGAGAACCCCTGATATAGGCGAACAAAATTAGTCACCTCCATATTGGTACACATTATTTCTACTTTAAGATTATACATAAAAATGCTCAATGTTATGCAAGGTTACTCTCACAATTTGCCATGCCACAATTTTGTGGTGGTCAGAGTACACATATTTAACATCAATACAAAGAATCAAATTACCACTAAACTGAAATGTGCGACCAGAATTGTGGGCCAGGCTAACTGAACTGTGGGATGGTATAACCAAGCACTACAACCAGGGATGTAGCCAGGGGGTGGTTTTGGGAGTCGGAACCCCCCCTCCCCTTTCAAAATGTAAAAAAAATAAAAGCATCTTTCTGTATCATACATAGCAATTTTCCGTAGCTTGAAACGCTTGTTACACGTTTTCTGGCGTTCGACCAGACCCGCTAGCTGTTCCAATCAAACTTGGCAAATAGAAATTTCAGAATCCCCCCTCCAATATGCCTAATCCACTGGTTCTCAACCTTTTTGGTGGGGTGGAACCCCATTGGAACATTCCATAGGCTCAAGGTCCCCCAGTACAATACTTAACACTAATACTTGCAAAACATAGCAAATTTGAAGTGTAGCAGGTCTGATAATAATGTTTAACCCAATTTTAAGTATATTTTGTTCTGAATACAGTACAAGTATTCAATATTATTTAAACAATATAATTATAGGGTGCCCATAAAGTCGTGAAATTTTTTAAAATTGGAAAGAAATTTATCGATACCATATATTGTTACGGCCCTCACAGATGTATTAATTGAAGTAACAATATTTAAACAATTACCGATTTAAAAAAAAATGGTCTAGATATATTGAGAACTGACTTCACAACAAAATTGAAATTGTAAAGGACTTCATGGACACCCTGTACATATATTATATAGACTGTCGCATTTGAATGTAAACTTTTGGAGCCGCTGCACTGAACTGGCAAAAACCGAGGATAAAAACCTTAATTTGCCATTTCTACGGGAAATAGGATCGTTCATATTAGAACCATAAGATATTCTGAAAGACTGAAACTTCAATTAAATGTTTATTAGAAATAATACAGCCATTTTATAGTAAAACAATAGACTTTCCTCTCCCTGAGATTATGAAATACATTGACAAGATTCACATACTTTTGGTGCTTAGTAAACTTCATCATCTGCTATCTGTACTTGGTCATGATAAGTTCCAATGCCTTCTGGTGTTCGGTCAAACTTTGTCGCAATTCATTGTTTTCATGTTGTAGGGACCGAATTGCATTATTTTCTTGCTGAATACCTTGAAGATAAAAATGAGTATAGAATACATATTTTTGTTTCCATCAGAAGTATTATTTGAGATTTACATTTGATTATTATTTACAATTTTTGATCAATATTTATATTTTTTCTCTTCAAAACTTATACCTTTTAAAGCGAAGGCCTGCAACAATGTTTGTCGGTTGGCCATATACCCAACTTCATACAGTTAGCCGGGCCACCCAAAAAATTAGTTTATCCATGCGAAAAAAGCAAGAGAAGAAAATATGGCTGTTGCTCAGCCTTACAGTATAAAGGCACCAACAAAACAGCAAAGATTTACCGCAGCGAAAAGATGTATTTTTATCCACATGAGCGGTTTTTGGACATAAACTATTGGATTCAGATTCTATGCTTGATGGGGAGAATCCGAGCGTTGACGAGGGCCACACTGAATGGCTTGGTGGGTCGGGTTGTGCCCCGCGGGCTGCCTATTGCGCACCCTTGATCTAAAGTAACCACTAATTTTAGACTAGTTCTTAATCAATTTCAAATTGAATATTTCTGTTCATGCAGAGTTTGGTACAAAATAGAAAACGATCAATTCATGTCCGGAAATATCATACAGTCAAGTGATGATAATAGAATAAATATTTCGTTACAGAATGAGCAAAGCTAGTACTGGTTCTTGTAAAAATTTGTCGTACCTAAGACTAAAGTAGACCTTGGTCTGTGTCCAGCAACTTTGTTCAGTTCAATCAAATTTTCTTGATATGTGTTTCTCGCTTCCATATCTTTCTTGAGAGTTGAAGCCTGTTCGACAAGACTTTCAGCAGCGCTGACATGATCCTGGGATAATAGATGAAATTAAATTATTTGGAAGTGTATGTTAGAGAGCATTGATAAGTTTGATTGTTGCAGTGTAGCCCACATAAACGCTACTTTTTTGAATTTAAAATATTTCTGATATGACGCATTCAGCATTACTGACGTGGACAATATTTTTATGATCTGAGCATTTAAATATTCTTAAGAGTTTAACCAGAAAATAAGATTGAAAATCATTAGTTAACTATTGTGTATCCAGGGCCCTGAGAAGTTTAAAACAATTCAAAATACTATGGAGCCACTTTTCCCAACCAAAGTGGAATTTTCTGAATTTGGTGCGGAACTCTTTATTATTGCTATATTACTGATTTGATTAGCTATGACATTATAAACTACTTGAAGTGTAGAAAAAGCTGGAGTGTGACTTGTGCACAACAATAAGAATATATTAGGCGCACACTTGGACATTGGAGAAAGCAGTAACAAACCAGCCTTTACATGAACATCCATATGATAGCAAAGAGTCCATATTTTTATATTTAAAGGAACAGGGTGGCTCATGTGACCGCTGGTCGGTTACGGCTTTTTTAGTCATTAAGTCCATGCATCCTAAATAAACTGGTTAACTAATCCCGCACCCAACATGTACTGGTAACCAGACGAGAGACTGTGGTTCGCCATGTGATTAAGTCCTCTTATGAACTTTTCCTGCCCCCGGGAATCGTTTAGTTTATTTTAAAAACTTAATGATACACACAAATTAAAAATGGAGAATTCTGGAAAGCAAGCAAAACCTATAAAGAAGTTTAAAACATGAGAAATATCATGTGCCTGCCCACCATCACACACACAAACCCAATTAAACGAGGCTTGGGCAATAATTGAAGGAACAAAATACACGATAATATTGAACTTTCAAGCTGTTGTACTTTTATTGACAGCCCGAAAGTTCAATACTATAGAATAAATATCAAAATCTTAAACAGTAAAAAAGTCAAAAGTCTCCATGATAGGGTCTAGAGTGGTTTCAAGCCTAAAGTACTTCAAGTGGTCGCAACATAACAATTTTTGCGACTTGCTTTGAGCAAATATTCCTAAAAAAATTCTAATTTTTTGAATTATTTTTAGAGATTGGAACACAAATGAAGCCGCCAAATTCTGCTCAAATTTTCCGAATCTCATAAACTACAAAGGGTTAAATTCAGAAGATTATTCAAGTTCATATTCGCTGAGAAGAAAAGGGCAACTCTTATGGTTAAGAGCAGACATGGGCAAACCATGGCCTGTGGGCTAAATCTGGCCGTTGGGTAATTCAATCTTGCCTGCCTTATGCTGCCACAGCCCAAATTCTGATTTTTTTAGCTAAAAATAGCTCAAGGATTTTGTTGAGAGTGCGATTAAGATTTACGATGGTTTTCCACTTTTGCTTTTTGGCCTCTGGTCCTTATTAAACCTACCCACCCCTGGTAAAGAGCATTTTCCTAATCCAATAATTTGTCTTGTAACTTTATCTTGAGTAGGATTGCTAATATAAGGGATGAAATATTATTTTTATCATGAGGGAGAGGAAAGTCGATTAGATGGCTTAGTCATATGGAGTCCCACTCCATGTCAGGTATGGGATTAGTTAGCAAGTTTACTTATTTGCTTTAGATACATGGTATTTTAATAAACCTTTAAAAATTAGTAGAACAATTAACTTTCCTAACCCTGGAATTTTGAAAAATGTTGATACTTTTGGTACTCATTCGGTAAACTTCATCATCTGCTGTCTGTACTTGGTCATGATGAGTTCCAATGCGTTCTGGTTGTCGGTCAAACTTTGTCGCAATTCATCGTTTTCATGTTGGGGAGATCGGATCGCAATATTTTCTTCCTATTTTGAAATTAAGAATGCCAATTTATTCACCACATGGGATTTTATGAATTTATTTACAGTGCGATTTGGTACTCCTGTAGTATGCAAACCAAAATGGCAGACACCGAAACGTAGTATGTGTACCAGGCCATAATTTCAGGTACATATACTACAGGAGTCACTTGACTAGTCCCCGAACTCGTAATAGAACTAAAATAAGAAAAATTGGAATCAAATTATGGCCTAATCCTAACATGGTACACATACTACGTATTGGTGTCCGCCATCTTGGTCCACATACTACAGGAGTACCTGCAATTTATTTCATTCAGAATGAAAAAACTCTCGATTTGATCAAGGTTTTTATTTCTGATCTCTAAGCAAGACACTAGACAAGCACCCATGAAACATTCGCTTGATTGGGGCTGATCTAGAAGTTCAAACCAGTCCATTATCGCAGTGTGTAATGTCTTGCTATTGCCTCATCTAACTAATTCTTACTTAGGATTAGCATCCTGGTGGGCCAATAATATGATAGAACCACAAAAAAAGTATATGAATGCAAGGTTTTCATATTCAAAATTTCAATATCCTGAATCAGACCCAACTATGATAGATTAGAATAGGAAAAGTAAGGTTGGACAATAACAGTACAGAACCTAAAACGGGAGGAAAGAAAGAAATTCATATTAATTGCAAGGTTATTGATCTGATTGATTTAGTTGTTTCAGCCAAAACATTTTGGACAAATTTACTTTGAGCCATTTAAATTTTATTTTGTTTTCATTGCATTAATTACCGGTATTTAGTTTCAAGTGTTTGTCTTGGAATGTCACAAATACAAAGAGTGAAAACAGGAGTTAGAAAATCTTGATATAAAACATCTTTCATACCCAAGACTAGAGTCTGTGTCCAGCAGCTTTATTCATTTCAATCAAATTTCCTTGATATGTGCTTCAGCTTCAGGTGCTTCAAAAAAGGAAGCTAACGGCTCTTGTGTGTTATATCCCTTTTTGCATTCATCTGCTTTGTCAGATATAAAATATTTTTCTAACAAATTCGCTTGCCAAGTTGATAATTTGGACAAAACCGGTACCAGTATCATTTAGAATACCGGTACGGTACCGAAAATATTTCCCTAAAGCTAAATCGGCGAACTCCAGAACTCGTTCAAAAACATCTCTGGGTATCTCTATCGCCCCTGATGGTAATACCGTCGCCATAAGAATCGGCAGTGATCACCTGAGTTCTGAATAGAGTTAAATGGTTTGTAGTGGATTCTATTTTCTACCTATCTATTGCAGTGATCACCCATAGATTTTACATAACAACAAGATGGCAAGCACCGTACTTTTACGCAACCCCGTGCAACTAACTCGTCCCATTATAGCGTCATATGGACGCCATTTTCGATCATTCGGCTCGGGTAGTGTGACGCAAATAAGCCTAATTTTAGTAGTTTTAAATGGCTATTGGGGCAGATTTAAATCAGTAGTTATATTCCGAGGGCGCAGAAATCCGATAGGACGTCGCAATCAGTATCAAACCCAATACGGGGCACTCACATTAACAACCCACGCCGCTCGGTAACAAACATAATATAGACGCAACGCACGGTTAGCAAAGTTCATTTCGATTTTCCGTAACACTAAAACATATATATAGGCAATGCAAGTCAACACACACATATAGCCTAAGGAAAATTGGAAAGTAGGCAAAATCTAAAACTATGCAAGACCTGATGATGCTAGGTCTACCCAGGGGGATGAAACTAGCCGAGAAAGCCACGCCCACATTAATAAAACAAACAAAGTTATTCGCGTTACGAGTTTCTGCAGCTTCACGCTCCATTGCGATCACTTGATTTGCTCGGGGATTGGTGAAGACGGTGGTATGTGCACAAAATATCTCGCTGTATATTTTCATCTCAGCAGCCTATAGTATTTCATTAAGTTGGTTTAATACTTTAAAGTGGATAAACTATCAAATGCCGGTTGTCCATCTTAAGCTCCGTCTCTTTAGTTTAATCCAAGATAGGCCCTAGATTAGATTTACCCTTGGCTTCAACTAGTAGTTTCCCCCTCAAGACAACGTAGTTACAACAGGTAACTTTGCGTTCTGTGAAACACCTCAATACTCACACGAACAATCCTATTTTCCGTAGAAATGGCAAATTAAGGTTATTAACCTAGGTTTTGGCCAGTTCAGTGCGGCGGCTCCAAAAGTTTACATTCAAATGCGACAGTCTATATAATATATGTACAGAGTGTCCATGAAGTCCCTTTACAATTTCAATTTTGTTGTGAAGTCAGTTCTCAATATATCTTAACCATTTTTTTTTCCAATCGGTAATTGTTTAAGTATTTTTACTTCATTTAGTACATCTGTGAGGGCCGAAACAATATATGGTATCGATAAATTTCTTCCCAATTTTAGAAAATTTTACGACTTTATGGACACCCTATATATTGTTTGAATAATATCAAATAATATCAAATAATATAAAATATACTTTTTATTAGGTTTAACATTATTATCAGACCTGCTACACTTTAAATTTCGCTATGTTTTGCAAGTATTAGTGTTAAGTATTGTACTGGGTACCTTGAGCCTATGGAATGTTTCAATGGGGTTCCACTCCACCAAAAAGGTTGAGAACCAGTGGATTAGGCATATTGGAGCGACAATTCTAAAAGCTAAGAAGAACACATTATAGCATGGAGTGTGCAACCTTAATTTAATACAGGAGGTCCAGATAGAAATAACTGGGTGAAACCTGTTATGGCATTGTAAAGTCGTAGGCATGTATAAACTAGACTCAGGTATTGGCTTCGCAACGCACAGGGATTGGAATTACGATATTTTTAGTTACATACCGGTGCAAAATTTATATGGGCAGACAAAATTGAAAAAAATGTGATTGGTCTACCTACAGGCTGATTCTGATATTAACTCTCTCCAGGAATGCGTAGCGTAACACGTATGCAACAACATATTGTAAACTAGCTATCACACACATTTTCTGTCGCAGAGTGCTTTTTTTTTTTTTTTTTTTTTTTATAGATAAAATAATAATATAAATCATTACATACAGATGAGACAGTATAAATTCCATAACAAATATTGATCATTTGTATCCATATTGTAGCATATCCGTTGTAAATCCCATTTTTTGTCATCATCAATTATATTTTCCATGATGCCATTTACCATTATTTTAATTAATGCATGTAAAAGAAAATTTTAAGAATTAGTTCAACTTCGTTACGATAAACACTTCTAGTCATATTTATATATATTTGCATAATAAATCAAGTTCTTCACAATAATTAGGTACATTTCTCAGTCGTTCTATATTTCTCCTACACTTTATTGAATTTCTTATATTATTGACTACATTATTCACTCTTGGCATTACATTTTCAAAAATCACTGCATTTCTTTGCAGCCAAATTTTATATCTTGCAGTACATATCAATAAAATAATAGCATTTTTTTCTATATTGGTCAAATGTACATAATTGTTGTGTCTTAAATCTAATAATTTACACGTTTCATAATTTATTAAGTTGCCACTGTTAGTTATTTTCATGATAATAGAAAAAACATAATCATACAATTGTTTCACAAACGAGTAATTCCAGAATAAATGTGTTATAAATTCAGCTTCTTTGTCACAAAATACACATAGGTCATCCCCAGCAATATATTTAATTCTTGACATTGTTTTAAGCGATAAAATATTCCACAATAATTTGTAGTTAAAAGTTTTTACATAATTAGCGAGAATTTTATTATGAATATTCAAACATGCTGTTCGAATATCCCCATTGTTTAGAAATACAATTCTTTCACTTTTCAAAGTAGCAACAATTTTATCATATAAAGTTTTATGATGCCCCTGCCTTACATCATTTATAGTGATATTATGCACTCTTATGAACTCTAGAATACATTTATAATGCCTATTAGGTTGAATAGAATGATATACACTATTATTTACAGGTAAATTATAACGAACACTTAGTTGATGACCTATATTGAATTCAATTAAATTAAAAGAGTTGTATAGCTTATATTATTACTATTATTTTGCCTCCAATTACAGTATTGAACTGCGCACATTGCATACAGACAGTTAACGAAAATGGGTATGTTTATTATGTCATAACCCCCTGTATTCTTTGCTTTACATAACGTCTCAATTTTTAGTCTTGATGGTCCATCAAAAATAAATATTTCAATCATTTCATTGATTCTCTTCCAATCTTTGTGGGCATTGGAAACACTCTAGCTAGATATAAGCACAAAGGTAGTAATTTCATTTTACTATTAAGCATTTACCTTCCAAAGTCAGAGGTACAGTGTTAGATAATTCTTCTGTCATTGACTTTACTTTCCCAGCACATATGTCCCAGTTATGTTCACTAGTATCTTTATTGGCAAAAATAACATTCAATACTTTCAATTCATCTACTACTCTTACATTTTGATGAAAATTAGCATTTCTTCATATCCCAATACGTAGTATTTTTGTTTTCTTTAAGTTGAGTTTCATCCCTGTAGCTATTTCGAATCTCTTTATTATTTCCAGGGCTTTATATAGTGAAGTCTTGTTCCTTAGCGTCAAAGTGATGTCATCTGCATATCCAACATTTTTGATTTCCTCATTTCTTGGTATTTGTATTCCTGAATTTCTTTATGTGAATTTGATATATATTACCACGGGTTCTATAGCTATTATAAACATGTACATGCTCAGTGGGTCTCCTTGTCTAATGCCTCGTTCAAGTTGAATTGCTTCACTCAGGTATCCATTTATTAAAATTCTTGTTTCTGATGTGCTATATATAGATTTAAGTGTACTAATTAATTTATTCTTCATTCCAAATTGTTCAAGTGTTCTATACAGGAAATCCTGGTCAATAGTATCAAATACTTTATTAAAATCCAATGATAGATATAGAGATTCACCAGTTTTATTTTGCTCCTGTACACATATATCCCTTAGTATTGTCAAAACATCAGAAATTCTTCTTTCAGGAATTGCAGCTTGATTTTTATCTATAATTTTAGTCAAAACATGTTTTAGTCTATTCGATATTAGTTTTGTAAATATTTTGTAATCGCTGTTAAGAAGGGATATTGGCCTGTAATTTTTAATGTCATCTTTCTCTCCTTTTTTATATATAATTGTTGTGTGCCCTAGTTTTATATCTTTCGTAATGGTGCATTGCTCAAACATTTCCTCCATTACTTCATATATGTCATCCTTTATTATATTCTAATTTTTCATATAAAATTCAATACTAAGTCCATCTAGTCCTGGTGTTTTATTTTATTTGAATGTTTTGAATGTTTCCCAAATTTCTTCAACTGTTATTTGTTTTTCAATATTACTAGCCTGCGTTTCATCTATCATCTTTTCACTTGGTATACTATTTAAAAAACAGTTTTGAATATGGTAACTATTCGTTTCTTTTTTGTACAGTTTTTGATAAAATGTCTGAATTATATGCATTTTATCTTCTAATTTTCTTTGTTTCATCCCATTTTCATCCTTCAACTCATGAATATGTGCCATTTTTTGCCTTTTACTGAGTTTCTTGAAAAAAACTTTGTTGCACTTTTCATTAGTATCATATGAATTTGCCAATCCTTGAATCTTTATTTTATTGCTATTTTCTTTCTGTTTTTTTGCTATCTTTTGTTTGTTTTCTCCAATAGTGTTAGAATTTTTCACCTTTTTCCACCCTTTCCTTCAGATTTTCAAGTTCTTTCATATCATCATAATATTTTTTCTTGGCTTCTTGGGATGCTTTAACAGAGTATTTTATTACAAGATCTTTAATTCTTTTTTTGACTCCAGTCCACCATTCTGCTTTGGTTTGATATAATTCTTTAAGTGTTTTCCAATTTCCCCATCTAATCTTCAATTCAGATTGAAATTGTTCCGATTTTTATATGCTTGTATTATTTTTCCAGTACCCTCTTCCTCTTTCTTCTATTGTTATATTGATTTGGATTTCTATTGAATACATGTCATGATCGGAAAATACATTAGGTTTACAATTATAACTGATTATATGTGTTCCAGTTATTTGACAATAGATTCGATCAAGTCTAGCTTGTGTTGCATTATTACGCCATGTATACAAATTATTAGAGTTTGTCAACATTTCACATGAATCAATCATATTATAGCATTTTAGCAGTTCATTGAGTGACTCAGAAACGTATTCTGTTTTTGGTCTTTTCGGGGTGGGTATTCGGTCTCTATGAATATCGTGTACACAGTTGGTATCTCCTCCTAAAATTATTGAAAATTTTGAATGTATGAATTGATATAGGTTATCATAAAAAGTATCCTGTGTTTTCATGTTTGTTCTACAAGGAGCATATATATTAACTATATGAATTTTTTCTCCATAGATGTTCAAATCAGCAGTCAACACTCTTCCATTGTTATCCCATTTAACATTATCATAATCTGCTTCACATAGTTTTGACTTGAACAACATTGCCACTCCCTTTGAATTTGATGTTCCTGAGTTCCA